CCTGCTTTATCTTGCTTCTTTGTGTGGACTGTGATGCTCTGTTGTCTCCGAGGCATTGTGACGTTTTTGTGTTTATATTTAATTGGTGATTGTATGTTGGAGTGACTTGCCCATGATTTTCATTTTCTTAGTTTTATTTGTATGTTATCTACACAAGCAGGGTATTGTGCTGTGCTCCTCTATTCACTAGTTGACAGCACTTACACACTCACCACCTGTCTCCTTTCCTGTTGTCAGCCTCTTGTACGTCCCTGCCCACCTTGGAAAACAGGTCCCTGGAATCCAAATGGAAATGCTGTCATTTTAAAATCCAAAATGGTTGCCACTTCTAAAGATTCAAACTGGCTGCACCCTCGGTCATTTTAAATATCCAAAATAGCCACCATTGGTAAACATTCAAAATGGCTGCACCTTCAGTCACTTTAAATATGTAAAATGGCTGCTGTGTGTAAACAATCAAAATGACTGAGCCCCCTGGACAGTGGAAAGTCAACAGCTAGGTTGTCTCCCTCCTTGTTGTTTCCCTTCCTAGTCATAGGCCACCAGCGCAGTCATCCCTGAAGCCCTTGGTGACCAGGGCTGATCTTTAGGTCAATTCTCAGGTCCCAATACTACTTGGAAATATTCAGGCTGTTGGTCCCGTTAGAGTAGCTGACAATCCGCAGCTCCGGTCATCTCTGTACTCACTGTTTTTGTTCAGGTTTTTCCACTAGTTGGTGCCTAATCCACTTCTGTATACCTCCTTTCAAAGCTCAGGGCTCCAGGATATCTTCTGTATCTCTGTCAATCCGTTTTTCTTTTCCTTGTTGAAGAGGGTCTGTGTCACTTTTCTGCCTATTCCTCCATCTTACCAGAAGTCTCTCACCTTACTCTTGAAGAAAAGTAACCTGCCTTGTGACCCTGGGATTGGCCACCCCAATCTAGGAAATGCTTCCATGAGTTGGTCTCTTTTCACACAGTGCCTGGGGCCCAGCTTTGGAACCAAATGGTGGCTGCTAGTGTATGAAGTTGGCTGTCTGGTGTAGACTGAAATTCACCATCTAGCCTCACTCTCAGCCTGCACAGGCCAATACTTAGGTTCCATTAATAATGGAGGTACAGCCTTTCGGCAGCCAAGATCTCTCTTGTATCATGGTTGTCTAGCACTCATAGGTGAGGTTTTTAATTTTATATGGTGTATTCAGTCACTTTGTAAAATGGCATTTTCCCATATTATTAAACTGAGTCTAATCAACTCCCGTTTTCTCTGGTGAATTGCCATGCTTTCTGTGGATTCCCTTTCCTTCGGGAATGTTCAGACTCAGTGCAGTTTGAAAGGGTAGATGATTGGGCTCTGCTCTTTGGCTGACCCCTTTCTGTTCTTGTCACGACTGCTTAGGAGCAAACGTGAACCATGGCAAAGGTCTGGATTCCCCTCTTCATGCCGTGGCTAGGACGTGCAGCTGGGAGCTGGCCTGCTTGCTCTTGGACTTTGGAGCTGACACCCAGGTGAAGAATGCTGATGGCAAGCGTCCTGTGGAGGTGGCAGCACCAGACAGTGCTCTGATCAAGCTCCTCTTGCGGAGAGAAGGTGCTTCTCCTGTGCCTGAACCTAAGACCTAACCCATAGAGACTCCTGTGGGTGTTAGTAGGAGTCAGGTACTTACTGAGTTCTGACTTTTGATCCTATACAAGATCATTCTCTGCCCTCATCTATCTGAGCAAGTTTAGATCACTTACTATTCAACAAATAGATAGTTGAATATATACATATATATGATTGTGTGTGTATATATACGGTTAAGTGTTCAGCTGCTAAACAAAAGGTTGGCAGTTCAAATCCACTGAGAGGCATCTCAGAAGAACATCTGGAGATCTGCTTCCAAAAGGCCTTGAAAACCCTGTGGAGCACAGTTCTGCTCTGTCACACGAGGCCACCATAAGTTGGAATTGACTGAATGGCAATTGGTTGATTATACAAAATATAGGATACCAAAACCAAACACATTGCCCCTGAGTCAATTCTGACTGATGGTGGTCCCTTGTGTGTCAGAGTAGAACTGTACTGCATAGGGTTTTCAAAGGCTACAATCTTATTTCAAGGAGCTCTAGTGGTACAGTGGTTAAAGCATTCAGCTGCTAACCAAAATGTCAGCACTTTGAACTCACCAGCTTCTCCGTGGGAGAAAGATGTGGCAGTCTGTTTCCATAAAGATTTACAGCCTTGGAAACCCTATGGAGCAGTTCTACTCTGTCCTATAGGCTCACTATGAGTTGGCTGTGGGTTTGGGTTTTGGGGTAATCTTCTTTCTAATATCAAGGGCTGTAATGTAGATCTCTAGGTCTTTCTTCTGTGGCGCCACCAAACCACCAACTTTTTGATAAGGAGCCCTGGTGGCTCAGTGGTTAAGCACTCAACTGCTAACTGAAAGGTAGGAGGTTCAAACCCACCAGTGGCTCCATGGGAGAAAGATGTGGCAGTCTGCTTGTGTGAAGATTACATTCTTGGAAACCCTATGGGACAGTTCTACTCTGTCCTACAGGATTGCTATGAGTCAGAACCGACTGAATGTCAATGTTTTTTTTTTTTTTTTTGGTTGTTGTTAGCCAAGCACAAACCATTTGTACCAGCCAGGAAGTTTGCATAGGATACAGTACTATAGTAAATAGCCATCCTGCTGTTTGGCAGATTGGAGATAGATTGATTTTGACGAACTAATATTCACAAAGGAGCTCTGGTGGCGTAGTGCCTAAGGCATTTGACTGCTAATCAGAAGGCTGGTGGTTCAAACCCACCTGCCACTCCTTGGAAGGAAGGTTGGACAATCTACTTCCGTAGTGATACTGCCTCGGAAACCCAAGAAGGGGTTGCCATGAGTCAGATACGACTCGACAGCAGTGGTTTAGGGGGCTCTGGTAGCATAGTGCCTAAGGCACTTGACTGCTAACCAGGAGGCTGGTGGTTCAAACCCACCAGCCACTCCTCAGAAGGAAGATGGGGCAGTCTACTTCCGTAGTGATACTGCCTCAGAAACCCAAGGAGGGGTTGCTGTGAGTTGAATTGACTCGATGGCAGCGAGTTTGAGAGACTCCTTTATTCTAAGCAACTGGATAAGCACCAGACACTTCTACTTCCCTTTGACTGAGCTCTTGTTTTTAAAAAAATTCTCTCTACACATACAGGTGGACTTCTCCATCAGGTACTCTGGGCCCATGGTATTTGCAGGGGCCCATGGAAATGTTTTATTTTAAAATAATAAGAGAAAAATGAGTGTGACCCAACCTGGATTACATTCATCTTTATACCAAGGCAGTTGTAAAATATGACTTTCAATATTTTTAATGGAGAAAGGGATCCACAGAAGCAAAAGTGCCTCAGGTTCCTTGAAGTCATAACGAGAGGAGATACAGATATAGATATATCCCTGCCCCATCAAATAGTCTCGTAGGATTTTCCAATTGCCTTCACTGGCTCCACTTTATTTCCCAAAGTCACTCCTAGAGACCCACTTAGTTAATTCCTTTCATTCACATTTTGCATGCTGACAATGTACCCATTGGCTTAGAAAATGTCATTTGCCATTAAAGAGAATTGCTGTATCTTTTACCTCTGTGAGTGATTGTGGGGGTTCTGATGAGGTCACCTCTCAGCAGGATGGACATCTCCCCCCACAAAGAAATGGATCGGGCAACTGCAGAAAACCATACCCACCAATTTCATATGGCAATTTCTATCTCTAGATGTCCCACTGTCACATTTTCTTCAGGCCACCTGCTTTTTTTTGTACACCAGGAAAGGAATTAATTAAATCACTGCCCCCTTTTAGTGGCATGGAGACAGGAAAATGGTATGAAACCCAGTCATGTCCGGAAGGAGGCTTTACATTGGTGTTGGGAGAGGTGGAATCTTCCCTTCTCCCTTCCCATCATGGTGGCTTCTTTGGAGGGAAGAGAATGAAAGCAGGAATATCATTATCCCAGCCTCCTGTGAAGAATTTAATACAGTGTTTGGTCATGGGACACATACATGGAAAGCACAGCAAGTGAATGCACTGTGGCGTTAAAGCAGCCTGTGTGTTGGGGAAGGGGGAGAAGCCGAGACTCAGAGGAATATGCTAATCCATACAGAATTATCTGATTTTATTGTGGGGCAACTCATCAGCCACTCCATGGGAGAAGGATGTAGCAGTCTGCTTCTGTAAAGATTTACAAGCTTTGGAAACCCGATGGGGTAGCTCTACTCCGAGAGTGTGTCTAGCACCTATTATCAGTCACAATCCTCGGTGACGTGAGAATAAGTTTAGTTTCTCCACAGTGGGCTTTTTATGGTTCATTAATATATGCCCTGAGTGTACCAAGAGTAGTCTGGGAGGTCCCCTAAATACTGAGGGGGCCTCCTGAAAGTGCCATTAACAGCTGATTTAAGTTATTGCACTTATTTATTTGATTATCTGTGTGACTAGTTCTACCTTTCTTTGCTCTCCATCACCTGAGAAATATGTAACCAAGTTTACCCTGCAGCATAAGGTGATGTGATAGGGACATAGTGGGCATTGTATCCTAGTAGTGGCCAAACAATAAAATGACCTGGACACTTTAACAAAATTTAGATACACAGACCCCACCTGGGAATAACTGAGGCAGCATATCTGGGGTGGGGCCTGGCACTGAAGTAGTTTAAAGAGTCCCCCTCACCAAAAAACAAACCCACTGCCATAGAGTCAATTCCAACTCATAGTAACCCTTTAGGACAGAGTCGAACCCATAGAGTCTCCAAAGCTGTAAATGTTTTTAGAAGTAGACTGCTTCATCTTTGTCCTGTGGAGTGGCTGGTGGGTTCGAACCTTCAAACTTATGGTTAGCAGCCAAATACTTTAATCACTGCACCACCAGAGTGCCTCAGAGTTGCCCAGGTGATTCTAAAGTGCAGTCAGGATTCAGCATTACTACTTTACAGAATCTTGAAGGAATATTGTAAGAGAATTCACATCACAATCTGGTGCAGGGGTTGTTGGTGGGAAATAACTCTCCACCCTTTTATTCTCTAACAGGGTCTCTCAACCTCAGCACTGTTTGACATTTGTGGCCTGTCGGGGCTGTCTTACGCACTGTGGGCTATTTAGCAGAATCCTTGGCCTCGATCCACTAGAGGCTAATGTTGTTATGTGCCGTGGAGTCCACTCCAACTCATAGCAACTGTATAAGACGGAGTTGAACTGTTTCATAGTCTTCTAGGTGGTAATCACCAGATCTTTCTCCTGTGGAGCTGCTAGTGGGTTTGAATTGCCAGCTTTTGGGTTAATAGCCAAGTGCTTAACCATTGCACCACCAGGGCTCCTTAGGTGCTAAAAACACCCCATTGGCATTAGTGAGCTGAAATGGACTGGCATTGGCCATTTTGAATCAGACAATTGATGGTCTACTATGCTGGTGGCATAGTGCCTAAGGCATGTGACTGCTAACCAGAAGACTGGCAGTTCAAACCCACCAGCTGCTCCTCAGAAGGAAGAGTGGGCAACCTACATCTGTAGAGATACTGCCTCGGAAACCCAAGGAGGGTTTGCTATGAGTTGGAATCGACTTGAGGGCAGTGAGTGTGATTTTAATGCCAGGAATAACAAATTGAAGAGGGACAGCAACATATTCATTGTCAAAAAGAACATTTTAAGATCTATCCTGTAAGTACAACAACACTCAGTGATAGGATAATATCCATACACCTACAAGGAAGACCTTTTGATGTGACAATTATTAAAATTTACACACCACTCACTAATGCCAAAGATGAAGAAATTGAAGATTATCACCAATTGCTGCAGCCTGAAATTTATCAAGCTTGAACTCAGGATGCATTGATAATTACTAGTGATTGGAATGCAAAAGTTGGAAGCAAGAAGAAAGATCAGTAGTTGGAAAAGATGACCTTGGAAATAGAAAAGATTCTGGAGATCACATGATAGAATTTTACAAGACCAATGACCTATTCATTGCAAATACCTTTTTTCAACAACATAAACACAACTATATATGTGGACCTCACTGAATGGCATACACAGGAGTCAAATCGACTACATCTGTTCGAAGCGATGATGAAGAAGCTCAAATATCATCAGTCAAAACAAGACCAGGCCAATGACAGCCCAGACCATCAATTGCTCATATGCAAGTTCAAGTTGAAGCTGAAGAAAATTAAAACAAATTCATGAGAGGAAAAGTACAACCCTGAGTATATCCCACATGAATTTAGAGACCATCTTGAGAATTTGATGCATTGAACACTAATGACTGAAGATCAAGTTGTGGGATGACATCAAGAACATCATACATGAAGAAAGCAAAAGGTCACTAAAAAGACAGGAAACAAAGACCAAAATGAATGTCAGAAGAGACTCTGAAACTTGCTCTGGAACAGAGAGTAGCTAAATTGAATGGAAAAAACGATGAAGTAAGAGAGTTGAACAGAAGATTTCAGAGTGGCTCGAGAAGACAAAGTAAAAGTATTATAATGAAATGTGCAAAGACCTGGAGTTAGAAAACCAAAAGAGAAGAATATACTGAGTATTTCTCAAGCTGAAAGAACTGAAGAAAAAC